CATTGGTCAATTCAGTGAACTGACCAATAGTGAAACGGACAAAGTGGATCACGCGGATCAAGAAGACAACCGCTTTGCTATTGGTCGGTTCACCGAACTGACCAATGACGAAGCAGATCAAGTATGGCGCGTGCCTAAATGAAGAAGTGGATCGAAGTATGGCGCAAAATGTTTGCATCTGTGCCGAAAAAAGACGCAGAAGTGATTACATCCGGGGTGAAATGAGAATAAAAAACAATCTCGTGCCGAGAAAATGGAGAAATAAGTCGCCCACATACCTCTATGTCCAGATTATCGCCGAATAAACGCATCAGCTCTGTCTTCACGCTTTTGCTTTTATCGATGAGTGTTTCTGTTCCTACAGCTAGAAAGCCTATAGAGGATGGATCAATCTGGAAAGAAAAAGATCAGTTGAGCAAAGTTGAAGTCTAAGCACAAACGTTGTAGTTGCGTAGAAGCGCATCAGTGACGGTCAATGAGAGGGAGACGATATCCTCGTTGTCACCACAGAAACCCATCTGCTCTTGTCCTAGACCGATAGTGTACTTACCGGAGGAACACTTATCAAACTAAAGCAAATCACTCGTCCACGAGTTAGAAAGCACGTGAAAAACAAAAACTGACCTGCTCCAGATCCTTTTGTATGACTACATTTCTTGGAAAGTAAATCTCGATAGCGCTAATGCCCACATCTCGCACGTCGAAATCGCCCGCTGACATGACTTCTGTAACGGCGTTGTGGAAATAAAATGGTATAAAGAAGCATTATTTTTATCGAAGACAGATGGAGGAGCTTGGATCTTTCACAAAAAAGTCCGTAATAGGCCAAAAAGGTGTTAACAATAGAAAAACTCCAAACCGCATTGGCCGACTGGTCGAAAAGGGATGCCTTCAGAAGCGCCTACAAACGTTGATTTCAAGTCTCTTTTTTGCTTATCTGCTTATTCGCTATCTGCTGCTTTCATCCTACTCTCTGTAATATTGCAAGCGCTTAGAACCGGGTTTACTGAGGTTTGGATAATGCGGTTCAAAAATTTGCCCAGGAAAACGCAATGAGAGTAACGTTGTTGAGTGCATCGACTAATGGAGTATCCATTAGAATGTCCGACAACTGTTTTTACAAATCTAATCTAATTGCTCAATTCAAACATTTGCAATAGAAGAACCGAGGGTGGTCCCAGCGCGCGGATGCTGAACCGTACTCTTCAAAATTACACCAACTTAACCTAATAAATCTGGATTGCAAACCTTGTGAATTCTTGAGATTCATTGGTTATGTGCAGATAAGGAAGCGACGCGAGGATTCAGACGATACGCAGAACTTCCCAGGTCGCCAGTGCGACTTGGTCTCTTTCCCTTGTGAAAGTAGAAGACATTCTCTAGCAATCCAACCGAAACAAAAAAGAAACTTTAAATCCAAACGAAGTAGTCGGAACAATGAGGCTTTTGGCCCAGTTGCACACAAAGATGATCTGCATCATTTCGTTGCACTTCTTAGATAGAATCAAGCAAAGCAGGACCAAGACAAAACAAGGAAGTGCGTTGTTTGTTTCGAAAAGAAAGTGAAAGAGATTCATTTGTTGCACGCATGAGAAAATCGCGGTGACGGCGAGCGGTTGCGCAACATCGATCATTGGAGCGCGACAATGCTTACAAAGGACGGAAGCGACACCGAAGCTGCCTATAACTACTGATTGTATACAGTTAGGAGAGCCTGGAACGCTGATACCAAATCTGCTCTCCGCAGCCTGCAGAGCTTCTTTGGAAAAGAAGTCATGTGCTTCATTTTGAAAAAAAAATGG